TCTACTCCAATAGGGTTATGCATGCTGCATGTTTCAAGAAATAAAAAGCTGCAGGCTTTTAATTTGTAGACTAAATGAGGTCATCATCTCATTCATGCTTACAAATTAACAAGACAATATAATTTAGATAAATAAAAATTGAATGTGTGTAAAATTAAAAACAATTGAGAAAACACAAAATATATATAAAGAGGGTCATATTGATATGAGGGTGGGCTTATTATATCTCTATATATATATCTATTAATTTCTAGTACATAGTTTGATATTTATTCATTACATAAATATATATGTATAGTAGTGTTGAAATTCAATCAAAAGCAATGCAGATTCTAAATAAGGAATGTGCGTGAAGTCATCTCAATAACCATAAAAATTGGATGTTATGCACATTTAATAGCACCATGTTCACATTTTGATGATATAACTACTCTCCGATTATATAGTACTAGTATCTTCACCCGTGCGATGCACGGAACATATTTATTAAAATATTTTAATAAATACATTAATATATATATATAGCATGAAAAGTAAATGACAAATAAATAACATTATTATTGAATAGATTGTAAAAGTACAGTATTATATGGTATTACAAATTTAGAAAAAATTTTCGATAGACAACATTTTTATTAGTTTTCTTTTCCCCATTAGTCCCCCCACGTATTAATATCTTCAATCCCTGTGGATTAGTGACACGAGACACATCAACGTATAATTGACCATGACTAATAAACACATGTCTTTTCATGTAAAGTCCGACAGGGGATAACGACTGCTCTTGACTCTTGTTGATTGTCATTGCGTAAGAAAACATAAGAGTAAATTGTCCACGCTGGAACTTGAAGAGTATCCTGAGATCAGATGGAGTTAGGGAAAGTCTTGGTTCCAATACCTTATGTCCAACATTTGATCATGTTAGAATCTTACATTCAAACACGCGAGTGAAAAGCTTCGGTATCACCAAGCGTGTTCCATTACACAGTCCAGTCGAATGGTCAATGTTTCTCAACAACATGACAGAAGTCCCAACCTTTAAGTGCAATTCATGATTTGGAACACCAGAACATTTTATACTATTTGAGAACTCTAGAGTGTGCATGTCATGCAAAAAATCAACACCACCATCGGATTTGAATATGAGAGAACAATACACAAATTTTAAATATGAGATTTATAGCGTGAATTACTCCTATTCTGTACTCGAGTATTTTGGTAAGTTTGGGTGTATTTTGTTAAGCATTTACCAATAATAATGTTTAATTTTTATTGACATTAATATGATTCAAGTATTTTGTTAAGCATTCACCGACAAAATTTCAAAAATGATACACTAAGTTGGCGTTGTCAACAAAACAGACATTTTGTTGTCCCTCACGGACGGATTAGATAATGACGTGGCATTATAAATTTTCTTAATTTCCTACGTGTTATATACGTGCCGTTATGTGTCATTATTCTCTCCAAGTACACAACTACGCATACATAAATAAACATAAAAATAATCTAAAAATAAATAAATAATAAAAACACATAAGAAAAAATAAAATAATAATAATAATAATAATAATAAATAGAAAAAAATCCAAAAATAAAAATAAAATAAAAAAAATAGAAAAAATATATTTCGTTCTATTTTGTCAACTATATATTAATAAAATATTTAAAAAAATTATATTTTGTTAATATATATTAAAAATAAAAAGATATTTCGTTAATATTTCGTTTAATATAAATATATTTCACTAATATATATTAAAAAATACTAAAAAAATGAAGTTCATTAATAATAATAATAATTATATTTAATTTATTATACTATTTAATAT